AATGCTTTGTATCTCCACTGGCCAGAACTTAGTCCCTGGGCCTCCCTTAGATGAAGTCAGCTTGAGAAATGGGTCTATTCTGGGCAGTAAGAACAAAAGAAAGAAGGGAGCGTCACTTCTGGGCCACTCTGTGGCCCAGTTTTAGTAGGGAGCTGTGCCCCCAAATCAGTAGTCAGATAACCAAAAATTAGTGAAAAGCCATTGTTATCTTCATTGTAGTCTCTCAAGTAAACACTAAAAGGAATAACATTCTTTAGCCAGCAGCAAAGGTCTCTCCCTCTTGCTACCTCTCTTGATTATCTCCCATGCAAGACAGCTGCTCCCCATGCTCCTTTTCCACTCCAGAACTTTCCCCAACCCGGTCAGTGCAGCCTTTCTTTATATATATTTCTTGTAACCTACCATCTTGGGCTCAATGGATCTCCAATAGTAGATTGGGATTGAGTTTGAGCTCTCCCTACTTTGAGTGTGCGCACCAAGCATAACCTACAAGGAAGAACTTCTTGGGCTGTGGAATGATGGGAGTGGAGGTGTGCTCACGCTGCCAAGTTGACACCTTCCTCTGTTTTCTGCTTCAGTTTCCTTCTGCTGAAATCCTTGTGGTTCTCTTTAGGAGGGGCGCAGCATGTATTTGGGCCACAGGGACACTCTCCCACTTTGTCTTCAGGGCACCTGCGTGCAGTGCCTAGCTCCTGCAGGGTTGCATTTTCAATGCGGCTTCTCAAAAGCCCTCCAGTTAGAGAATTTAAATCCCCTGTGGGATTCAACCTATCAGATTTTAAGTTCAATAACCATCTCTTTCAGGGCCTTGGGCCCTTTTAACACGAGAGAAAATTATTTACCAGATTTTGACTTTTTTTCACTCAAGGAGGCTGACACTAGATAGGGTGTTCCCTGGACGTAAAGGCCACTCGGAGCCTTCTCTATCCCTGCTGGAGTCTGGGTGGGACATCGGTCTTGTTGAGGACCAGTTCTGCCCCACTGGAAGACCATTAGGAGCACAGGCCCTTGCTGAACTCTGGGCTGGATTCGGGAAGCTCCTTCCGGAGGATTAAGAAACCAGCTTAGGGGGCGCCTGGGTGACTCAGTCCTTAAGCGTCTGCCTTCGGCTCAGGTCATGATCCCAGGGTCCTGGGATCGAGCCCTGCATCGGGCTCCCTGCTCAGTGGGAAGCCTGCTTCTCCCTCTCCCACTCCCCCTGCTTGTGTTCCCTCTCTCGCTGTGTCTCTCTCTGTCAAATAAATAAATAAAATCTTAAAAAAAAAAAAGAAAGAAACCAGCTTAGGCATACCCCACTTCCAGGAATCTTGTTTGTTGGTTTGATTTAGGACCCCAAGGTCTCTGTCATCCCCTGGCTTTTAGTTCTGTTCTGGTGGCTTGGCTCAGAGCTCCATGACTTTCCTTTGCTCCCCGATGGCAAGAATTGAGGCAGCCTTTAGGATTGTGATAAAGTCTCATATTTTTCAGAAATTTTTGGCTATGAATTCTTCTCATTAGGACCTGATTTATGGACTTCTAGCTCTCCAAGCTGTGTTCCGTCACTTTTGGTAGATAGCCCACTGTAAATGTTTTTGCAATCTGAGCAGAAAGGCTGAAAGTATCCTTTCATATAAGCTTTTGAATTCAGTATCCCAATCCCAGCAAATTCCCTCTTGGCCACATAGTCTCTCTGCAGCAATGTGATAATTTGCACATGAAGGGAATCTCTTTGTTTTAAAAGGAGATACCTTTGTTTTAAAATTGATAAACATTTCATTCGTGTCATGTCCCCCAGTTTGTAATATGTTTGATAGTCGACAGACTATATTATTTAGAGCAGCTGCTTTTCTTTTTTCTTTTTTTTTTAAAGATTTTATTTATTTATTTGAGAGAGAGAATGAGAGAGAGAGACAGAGAGAGAGCATGAGAAGGGGGAGGGTCAGAGGGAGAAGCAGACTCCCTGCTGAGCAGGGAGCCTGATGCGGGACTCGATCCAGGGACTCCAGGATCATGACCTGAGCCGAAGGCAGTCGCTTAACCAACTGAGCCACCCAGGCGCCCAGAGCAGCTGCTTTTCTAATTTATAAATAAGTATACATATATGTTCAAAAACGTTTATGGAGAGGATGCACGTTGAATTGATCACGCATGGGATGGTTCCCTTTCCCGACTTTTTGTTTTGAAAAATTTCAAATCTAGAGAACAGTTGCAAGAATAGTATAATGGACAGTATTTTATTCTTCACTTAATGATTTACATAATAACTTAACATTTTTACCAATTGCTCTGTTTTGCCTAATGAGGGCAGGAGGTTTTCTTTTTTGCTGAACCATTTGGGAATAAGTTACATGCATCGTGACACGTCACCCCTAAATACCAGGTATCTCTTAAGAGCAAGAGTATTGTTTGATGTGACCCCTGCACATAATCACACCCAGGAAGCAACGTTGAGGCAATACTCTATTATGCTGAATCCAATACACTGTTCATTTTCCAGTATGGGTTCTGATAACCTGGAATCCATGAATGATCCGCAAGGTCAGCCTCTGCAGACCTGCACTTAGTGGGTGGCAGTAACTTGGCTCAAGTGCTGGGTCTTCTAATGCCATTTCATTGGCTCAAAAACTGACTCCGGGTTCCTTCCCTCAACTGTGGTTGGCATTGTCTCGCCCGTGGATTTCTCAAGCTGCAGTGGTGGTTTTTTTTTTTTTTTAAGATTTTATTTATTTTTTTGACAGAGAGAGAGACATAGCGAGAGCAGGAACACAAGCAGGGGGAGTGGGAGAGGGAGAAGCAGGCTTCCCGCTGAGCAGGGAGCCCGATGCGGGGCTCGATCCCAGGACCCTGGGATCATGACCTGAGCCGAAGGCAGACGCTTAACGACTGAGCCACCCAGGCGCCCTGCAGTGGTGGTTTTTATGCCTTCTTGATCACAAGTCCCACAGCAGCTGTCAGTTTCCCGAGGATTTCCTTTCTCCTGCATGGAGCCAGTTCAAAGCTTTGAACTTGTCCAGGCATGGCTGCCATCGACCTCCTCTCTGTGGGAAAAGAAACTAAATTTCTTCAGAGGTTGTGTTATAGTAGAGGAAAACAAATTTCCGTTATCTAATTTCAGAACATTTTCATCACCCCTAAAAACAGCCCATTGGCAATTACTCCCCAGTCTCCCCTCCCACCAGTCCATGGCCTTTTTTAGATCTTTCATATGAATGGAAAAATACAATAAGTGGTCTTTCATGACTGGCTTTTCTCTTAGCAGACGTTTTTTCAATGTTCATCCATAGCATGTATCAGTACTTCATTCCTTCTTATTGGTGAATAACATTCCGTTGTATGGATCTACAACATTTCATTTATCTACTCGTTGGTTGATGGATATTTGGGTTGTTGTTACTTTTTGGTGATTATGAATAGTCCTTTTGTGAACATTTGTGGGCAGGTTTTGTGTGACAGAAGTTTTCAATTCTCTGGAATATATAAACCTAGAAGTGGAATTGCTAGCTCATGTGTTAACTCTGAGCTTAACATTTTGAAAACTGGAAAACTGTTTCTCATAGCTGCACCATTTTGCCCTCCCACCAGCAGCACGTGAGGGTTCCAATTTCTCTACACCCTTGTCAACACTTGCGACTGTCTCTCTTTTTGACTGTAGCCATCCCCGAGGATGTTAAATGGTAGCTTGTTCATATTTATTTTTAATGGTCAGTGTTAAAAATTTTGTGCCAAATATGTAAAACTACCTCCAATTCTTTTTTTTTAATGTGGTAAAATATCCATAACATAAGTTACCATTTGAGCCATTTTTAAGTGTACAATTCAGTGGCATTAAGTACGTTCACAGTATTGTGCAACCATCACCACCATCCATTTCCAGAACTTTTTATCATCCTAAACTGAAACTCAGTGCCCATTAAATAACTCCCCATTCCTCCCTTGGGGATGGAATTCTATAATGAATTAGCCTATCTTGGGTACCTCCTATAAATGGAATTATGCAATATCTATCCTTTTGTGTCTGGCTTATCTTATTTGTTGTAATGTCCAAAGTTCACCCATGTTGTAGTATTTGTCAGAATTTCAAACTTTTTTTTTAAATTTTATTTTATTATGTTAATCACCATACATTACATCATTAGTTTTTGATTTCAAATTCTTTTTTGTAAGCAGATCTGGCAAAATTTTAAATACTAAGCTAATAAAGAAAATGCTCTTTGTGTTGACTTTAAGATCCTGGGACTGCTTCCTAGAGAGAGGCACCCCCACCCCTTTCCTCTTCTTTGAGACTTTTTTTTTGACAGAGAGAGAGCACAAGCAGGGGGAAGCAGCAGAGGGAGAGGGAGAAGCAGGCTCCCCACTGAGCAGGGAGCCCGATGTGGGACTCGATCCCAGGACCCTGAGATCATGACCTGAGCCGAAGGCAGATGCTTAACTGACTGAGCCACCCAGGCGCCCCTTTCCTCTTCTTTGTAGTGGAATGCTATGGGCACCTCATGCCTCCCATACTCATTGGTCAAGTCAGAAGGCATTTCTTCTGAAATATTGCTGTTCTAGATTTTTCTTATGGCAGTAGTGAAGACTTACTAAGGGGATTTTAGTTGGGCTCCCTTGTCATAGACCACTAACAGAGGAGATATTTTACTTTTCCTAGTGTTTCTATGCTGGGGACGACCTTTTTGTAGGGCCCAAAGTGCAAGTTGCTTTTGCCTATGGAGTTCATTAGAGTCTGTGTGTAGGTACCAGCAGACTTTATTTTAATATTTAACCCCAGAATTGTGCTATCTACCATTTGTCTCATTGGTTTTCCACATAATGGTACTCTGACATGTTTATAAACTGTAACTGCCTTAAGGCATGTTTGTCCAGCGTGTATGCTTAGCAAAGTCTGTATAACTGGGATGGATTCCATTCTTTATTTATAAAAAAGTTATTAAGTGAATTTCATTGACTTCTAGTTTATCTTGTTGATACAATTGTCCAAAACAAATATGAAAGAAATTATTAGCGTTCTCTTGACTTCGTAGATTAAAACTTTGGAACAGACCAAAGCCACTGAAGACCTAAATAAGTCCAGAGACAAACTTGAGAAGATGAAGGAGAAAGCTGAGAAAAAGCTAATGTCTGTCAAGCCAGAACTGGATACCGCAGAGCACGAGGCTCAGGAGGATAAAGAGAGGGCCAGGAATATGATGGAAGTGGTAACCAGCGAAATGAAGACACTAAAAAAATGTCTGGAAGAAGCAGAAACAAGAGAAAAGCAGGTGGGTAGAAATCTGGGGGTGAAATCTTGTTTAGGAAAAGATGGGACAATTCAAAAGCTTGATAATTTTTCGTACATTTCTTCAAAAACAATTTACAAAGCTTTCTTTATCGTTTCAATGTATCTGCTTGCCCTCTCACATCTTTCTGGAATTAAAATGACCATTATGATTTACTCTGCTAAGAAAAATAATTCACAGTTTGATGGCACGAATCGTAGGAAAGAAAAAGACCTTCTCATCAAAGCAGTGGAAAGGCTGTGGAAGGCCAGGTTCTGGTTGTGGAGAGGTTTTGATTATGTTCACTGATTGCCTCTGAAGTTTGCATCATCCCAGGCTTCAACCTCAAGAGGGAAAGCTTATCTCCAGCAGAGATCAGTGTCAGGAAACTGTCCCAACTCTCAAACAGTGGCACCCAGACTCGATGGCCAACCTTGCCCAGATGTAAGCTATAAACCGTACTCACTCGCTGACTGGTTATAAGGAGGAGAGTTTTATCTGGTGAGCACATCAGGAGGTCAGGCATAAAGAAACTGTCCCGGGCAGCCTGACCCCCATTGCTTTTGGCTTTCATCTCCCTCTCTTGCTGAAGCTCAAAAGGGCAGAGAGTGGACTCTGATCTTAGGATTTTCTCTTTTTTTTTCCTCTTCGGCTGCCTCTGCTTTGGCTCATGTGTCAGGCAACGTTGAGGAAGGCCAAACTATAAAGTGTGTGTTCGCAGACGGAAACCTCTCAGGAATGAAGAGCCTTGACCATATGTGAAAGGGGAGAAAAGTTTGAGGGGAACTTTTTCATCAGGGACACTAGGCTGGAGAGGGTATTGTGTTCCCCCAAACTGGACTCAGCATGGGAAGGAGGTTGGGAAGTGAAGGAAGACAGGGTGAGAATGTTTGGAAGGCACTCTTCCTGGAGGCAACGTCTATTGGGTCACATCTTTCCAAAATGGAAGGTACTTCTAGCAAGCGTTTTCCCAGATAGCCCTGACTTACCTGCTTCTGCTCTAGCACAGAATCACAGCAACCAGCGTACGAGAATTTAAGGGGTCTGAGGCACATTTGCATCCATGGTCTCCAACTTCCCCACCTTTCCATTTTTTCTTTTGTGGTGGATGGAGAGTAGTCCCAGAGAGTCTACTGTTATGGGTTGTGAAGGAGGCTGTCATGTGATGTGATCTGGTCATTTTTTTAGTAGTCCTTCTGTTTTTATCAGCTCATACTTTCTTGCCCTTTGTTCTTCCTTTAGCTTAAGAGTTTCCATGCCTAGGGGCACATGGGTGGCTCAGTCAGGTAAGCGCCAGACTCTTGGTTTTGGCTCAGGTCATGATCTCAGGGTTGTGAGATCGAGCCCCACGTTGGGCTCCACAATCAGTGTGGAGTCTGCTGGAGATTCTCTCTCCCTCTCCCTCTGCTGCCCCATCTCATACACACACACACACACACTCTCTCTCTCTCTCAAATAAATAAATAAATAAATAAATAAATAAATAAATAAATAAATAAATAAAATCTTAAAAAAAAAGTTTCCATGCCCAGTTAAAATTCTAGTGGGTAAGTACTTATCACCCATGGATACAACCACACCTTTGTAAAGCACTTCTTAGTATATAGAACACATACACAGTCATTGTTTCATTGGATCCAAATTTCAGAACAGCCCTGAGAAGTAGGTGTATGGTTATTCCCACTGGGAAGTGAGAACATGGAGTCTTAGGTCAGGGTCTCATTCATGGTTGCCTAACCGAGATTCTTGACCTGGTAGCCAATGCCACACTAACTGGCTCATCAGAAAAGAGGTTATGAAACCATCGAAAGTTGGGGATGAAAGCATGTTAGAGGTAATTTAGTAGATGGCACCTTCCTATTTTATAAGTGAGAGGACTGGGGTTAAAGACAGTAAGTGATTTGCCTACCTCATGCACACCTGGGCTTTCCACGGGTTTTTTTTGTTTGTTTGGTTGGTTGCATTTGGACTAGCAGTAGTTGATACATTTTGTTCTCACCCTTTGTGTGTGTGTTTGATATTACAGCTGGTGGACTTCAGGGAGGTGGTTTCCCAGATGCTGGGCTTGAACGTGACCAGTCTTGCACTTCCAGACTATGAAATCATCAAATGTCTTGAAAGACTGATCCATTCACATCAGCATCACTTTGTCACCTGTGCCTGCCTCAAAGATGTGATGCCCGGGGGAGATAGGCAACCACAGAGTCGCTTAAAACTCCTTCATTGAATACCATTTCTCTTGGGGGAGGTGGAGCTAAGAGATGGGACACAACTGTCAATTTCACAAATTCCCCAAGCCTTTGACATTGATCAGGGTGTGAATACCATATATTTCGATGACTGTGCGCGTGAATCCATCATTTGCAAAAAAGGATCTCAGAGGTGCCAGCTGTAGGTTAATGTTTGACACTAAGAACACCTGTTATTTTATTTGCTAGCACTTTGGGACCCAAAAGAAGTCCAGTAGATTGCATATCTAGAATGGGCAATGGTGGTAGGAGATTAACATTTATGGGATTCTTTTTTTATGAGTCAGGGGCTTTACTACCCAATTTAATTCTCATAATGGTCACGTGGAGAAGCTTTAATGTTTTATTTTACAACCTCTCTGGGGCTCAGAGAGGGTGTTACCTACCCAAGATTGTAGTTGGTTAGTGATTGAACGAGCAGCCTTACCACGTTGGCCCTTGATCAAAGGCGGTGCCTTCTCTGCTACTCTACACTCCTCCAGTTTCTCCTGAAATCCTGTGATCCTGGTGAAAATTGCCCCCATAAAGGAGGGCAAACATTCATACCTTCAATCAAGTCCAAAAAGTGACTGAGATTCATGAGTGTCACGCATATGATTTCTTTAAAAAGCATTACAACTAATTATTTGGATAAAACATACATAGGTCTGAGGTCCTATGAGAAACCTACCGGTTTTAAATGTTGCTGCCAGATCATATTTGGTGGTAATTTTTCATGTTTGAACAGGGTTGGTCTCAGTCCTTTAAAAGTGAAACCTTTAATGTGAAACCGGTAAGATGAAGAAATCCTGCCCAGGTTTACTCACCAATATATTACATGTACTGACAGCAAGAGTACTTTTTTAGGATCAGGGTTTTATTACAAATTTCCATCACTTTCTGCCTTCTTTTTAAATTTCTATTTCACAAGTATTTTTCAGGAAACCATATTCTTAACTTTATTGAGAAAAACTTTTACTTTTTTGGGTGATTATCTTATTTTTGCCATATGAAAATATGTCTGAAAAAAAGCATTGGTGTCTAATTAAAGGAGGGGGGAAAAGAGATTACATTCAAACATTAAGAGAAAAAGTAAATTCTAGAGGAAAGAAAGGAGTTTGACACTTAGAGGCTGGATGACAGATCACACAGAGGGAGAATGACTAAGGATGTCCCCTGGGGAATGGGTCAGGGTTGCCTGGCTTTCTCCCTCGTGTGCAAGGATAGTATGAAGAAGCATTTGTGACTGATTAAATATACCTGCACAGCCATGGCTGAGGACATGAGCTAGGGCTGCAACAGGCAGGAGACTTGGCCTTGTATTTTCCCAGCGGAAGGGCTGTGGTCTCTGGAGATCCCTCCCCCCCAACCACACTCCAAAGATGCAATGGCTACTGGTCTGGACCCACACTCACCCAGAGAGGTAGAGGCGACTTTACCAGTTGGGTCTCTAGAGGACTGAATTGCTGAGTGGCTGTGTTTCATCCACGCCATGGAAAGGTGGAGGGTGTTTAGAGATGGAGGGATTGTTTTTATACCTTCCCTCTGTTTTCATTCTCCAAATACAATCTTTAGTGAACTTCACTTATTTTCTCTGTAAATTTCATTTTCGACACTATTCAGAGATACTTTTAACAGCATCACTTTAAAACCATGAACTGGCATAATAATATGTTTCCATTTCTGGTGGAAAGACTACACACGGCATAAGAAAAAGAAATTCTGTTTATATATATAGTCCATAGACACAGTAACTATTTGTCATTCGGATAAATTCAAATCCCTTAATAAAGCCATTTCTTTCCTTGTTGAAATGCCAGTTGATCGTTGGCTTTCCCTCTGTGGCATTCATTCTAGAATTGGCAACCCAGGCTCACATTTTTGTGTTAGATTTTTGTTCTTCCATAATACCATGTATATTTTATGTTGTCCAATAAAATGTGTTAGATTGATGAGATTTTCTAAATAGGGCTTTAAAATATTTAACACCAACTCTTCTACCAAATACACTTGAGTGATAATTGCCTTTGAGATTATTATTCTGGTCAGTGAGACATTTAAATGGATGCATAAAACATCTCAATTAGGATCAGGGTTTTATTAATTAGGGTTTTCCCCTAATTCTCAGGGAAAAAAAAGAAGCCTGAGCCATCTAAATTTTCAGTTCTACCTTGTAGTCTGTCTTACTGATGAATGTGAGTGATTCAAGGTCAAGGGGTGATGGGCTGAAAAGTGGTTAAACAGTGTCTCCATTATTTATATTGTAATAATAGTTAGGACTTAGAAGTGGAGTTTATTCTTCACTGGGAAGCATTTCATGGTTATATAACCTTGAATCGGGGAGGCTCTGCCCGCTCTATGCAGTAACGATCTTATCCACATTATTGCACAACTCCACTTAGCTTCTCATCAGTAAGTGTGGTCTGGATGCTTCTCTCTCCCCTATGCAGCCTCCATACCGTTATGCCTGCGCCTTTGTATAAAAACCATCGCTCATTTGAGACTCCTATTAACAGATATATAACTTTCTTCTGGTCTTTATTGCAGTTACCTTCTAACATCCTGTCTTTTCTTCCTACTTAAGACTATTGCAGATGGTTCATTGGTGTCTTCTTCACCCTGTTAAGTACTGCCTTCATCTTGGATGACTTTGGTGCCCATAAGGAAAACTCATACAACACCCTATCTTTAGTTTCTTGGCCTTCTTGACCCCCATACATTTACCTCCTTTAGTTTCAGCTACTTAAACCTTAGATTGCAGTTTATAGTAATTCAACTTAGACTACCTTCAGTTGGGGCGCCTGGGTGCCTCAGTTGGTTAAGCATCTGCCTTTGGCACAGGTCATGATTCCAGGGTTTGGGGATTGAGTCCTGCATCAGGCTCCCTGCTCAGTGGGAAGTCTGCTTCTCTCTCTGCTCCTCCCCCACACCCCGTTTGTGCTCTCTCTCTCAAAAATAAATAAAATCTTTAAAAAATTATATTTAGACTAACTTCACCCAAAGAGAATTTGGTGGTGGTGGGGGGGCTCATTTGAAAGATTCAGGTAGACTAGCTTCAGCATGGTTAGATCCAGTGATTTAAAATTGTTATTTGGATTCGTCTTGCTTCTACCCATCTTTCATTTCTCCTTGATTTGCTTGTCTTTGCATGTTGGTCTCACTTTCTCCTTCTGGAGGTGGTTCCTCCATGCTGCTGGAAAGATGGCCACAAGCAGCTACGTGATCTTTACAACTCATAGCTGAGGAAATGAGAGACTCTGCCTCCAACATTCAGGGAAAGAATGTCAGGAAAGAAGAGTCTGATCATCTCTTCTTGGTCATGTACTCATCCCTCAACCAAGCACTTTAGGCAGGGGATAAACTCATTGGCCTGCATCCCATGCCAACTCCTGTAGCAGAGGTGGGGTGGGATGAAGTTCCAGGGTGATCTGTTCAACCAAAAGCACATGTAATGACAGAAGGAAAACTCCCCAAAGGAAGAGAAGCTGGACAGGCACACAACACACGTCTATGACACATGGTCCAATTTAGAATCTTCTAATCACCTACAACTTCTCCACCTCTGAAATCTTCAAATCTCCATAAACTCTTACCATTGCAGACCTCTATCTCTTCCCCCACACAGTTGTTTTTTGAGTCTCCTTGGTTCTCCTATTTTTCTCCCTACTAGCCTTGGCATCTGGGGTCAGCAGAGATCCTCTGGTTCCTTTCTTCAGTCATTCTTTTCCCAACCCTTGAACTCCTTGTGCCCTTGCCCCTCTCCCCTCAGATTTCAATTAATCCCAACTAACAATGTTTCTGCTGCTTTTCCTGCCCCACCCGATGAGACTGGGGGAAATCACAGGTGGGCATGCCAAACTCAGGTCTGTTGGTCTCACCTGAGCCCTCTGTACTAACCAGTAATCCTCCACAGTGTTCCGCTTAGAGCTCACTGCCATTTTCTGAAATGACTCTTGCAAATCTTTTTCTCTTCCTCAAGGCTCTTAACCTTTCTCTTTCTTCACTGTCAGCAGATAATCTTGTTTCCTATTTCACCCACGAAATAGAAGCCATTACAGGAAATATCTTCAATATCAGATCCTAAAATAGCCTGCTATGTGTGCACACCCCTCATTGCCTCCTTCCCTCTTCTTGCCTTGGACTCATTCCTCCCCCCGGCTGCTTGCATCCAAGCAACCTCATCCCATCAGTTGTCCTCTCTTCAACCTCACATTCATATGGCTCCTTTCCCTCTGCATTCAAATGTGTTCATCTTAAATCAGTCCTTCTACTCTGCAACAACTTCTGTGTAGGGCCTCACTTCCCTCTCTTTCTTCACAGTCGAACCACTTGAAAGTGTGGTTTCTATGGCTGTCTTTCTGGTCTTACCTCTCATTCCTGTCATTGTCCGCGGCAGCCTGGCTTCGGTCACCACTTACCCAACTCTTGCATTTTTTGTTAGCAAACCTCTGTTAGTTTTAAAGTGCTTGTTTTGCTTGATCTTTCTGTAACATGTAATACAGTTGACCATTTCCTTCTCAAATCATTCTTTTGCATTAGCTTCCATGATGTGGCATTCAATTCATTTTTTCCCCTCTGCCTCTCTGGGTTTTTGAGTCAGATTATTTTAAGGTTATAAGAAACAGAAGTGAAATAAGCGTTTAATGTAAGGATAAGTGTGGATATGAGCGTGGGTGGGAATCTTGACCTCACCGTCAGAACTCAGTGAGGAACAATCATACATCTCAGAAACCAGAATGTAGTCGATGGTCCAACAACTAGAGCGCCATATACAGGATCCAGTGTGGCTCTCACGGCTGGGTGCTCTTGCTTATCCCATGCATCCTGGTTTCCTTTAATGCCATGAAAACTCAACTTCCCTCTGTCTCTGCTTCTACTGCTTCATCTGGTATCTCAGACGCCTGGCCTTCAGAACTGCGTGACAAAACATTTATGTTGTGTAAACCATGCGGTTTGTGGAACTTCGTTAATGCAGCCCTGGGAGCCTAGGCCTCATCTTACAAGATTGCTTAGGTTTAAATAACATAGAGCATTTAGAAGATATCCTGGCATGTGGGGAATACTTGGCACATGTTAGCAAATAATATTGCTATTGTAAATATCGATAACTAGTTTCATCTATTCTTGGGGCTTTAATTATCATCTATGCAATGATGATGCCAACCGTTATCTCTCTAGATCAGGTTCCTGTCCTGATCTTCTCCCAGAACAATTATCTCTCTAGATCAGATTCCTGTCCTTCTCTTCTCATCTATAGGATGGTGTGGAGAGGACCCCTGTAGGAATTGAGCAAGAGACTTGGGTTCAAATATAAGCTCTGCTGAGTGACTTGGCCCAGGTGATTTACCACTTTGAAAACCAATGTGCTTCAGGACAAGAATAGGAATAACAAGACTAGTTTCCTCATAGAAGAATCCTTATATAAGGATTCAATGAGTCGATGTATATAAGGTGCGTAGCTCAGAACATGGACGTCACAAGTGCTCAGTGAATGTTGTTATATCCTACAGGTATCTCACACTCAACATAGGCAACACTGAATTTGTAATTTTTGCCTCCATCCTCTTCTTGCCAATAACCTACTTTTCTCCTGGGCTTCCTGCCTCAGCCAATGGCCTGGCATCTGCTCAAGTGTCTGAGGCTGGGTTTAGGGAGGGAACTCTGACTTGTCCCTCTCCCTCTTCCCACAGCTGGTGTCTGCTCTACCTCCTGTATTCTCCCTCATCTATCTACTCTTTCTTCCACATGAACACTAGTAGTTTATACCTCATTATCTCTCACTCACTCAGACTTCCCTGGGTTCTGAGCAGATGCTGTGATTCACTACCCAGGCCCCCCTCTAGGACCGAAGCACTCCTTTTCAGCTGCCCAGAGCTGTTGGCTCTTGACAACCCATAGCTGAGTTCCTGGCAAGGACTTGCCCTTGGCTGAAGGGAGCTACCTCATCCTGGGTCACAGACTTTACCCTGAGGCAGTTTGTATCTAGTGACTGGTCAATGTGGGGGTACAAAGACCTGACCTTCTTTCTTTAATTCAGAACCACTCTGAAGGGTCATGTCAGAATCAGAACTATGCCCCCCACCCACTTTACTCCCCTCCTCCCCACAAATCAGCCAAGGCCTCTGTGGCAACTTCATCACACTTCAACTGCTTCCTCTGCCCGGTCTTGTTTTCTTACTTTCTTACTTTCTTTTCTAAGTGTGCAATTCAACAAACCCCTGCCTCCAAATTCCCATCTCAGGGTCTTTCCAGGACCCTTTTTTTAGGGTCTTAGGTCTGTCCGACCTTAGACAGATTCATTCATTCTCCTTGCAACTAGTCATGAAAGTATGAAGCCATTTGGTGTTTTTCCATCATGTGGTTTTATCAATGAACAAGTGTTTATTGATCGCTTGGTGATATAGGACCCACAAAAACCAGAACAACAATGAAAAAACCCCCCAAATATCTATGACTTAAACGATTTGGCTTTTTCTTTCTTTTCAGAATTCTCTGTCGAGATACATAACTAGGTTCCAGTATAGTGTTGAGTACCGAAAGAAGATTTTATTCTGTTTTTCCATTTCCTGTTAGTTTTAGCACTGTAGAGTACTGAAGAGACACTACTCCAAGTAGCTTAACCAAGAAAGGATTTATTATAGGGTATTAAGTGGCTTGCAGAATCATGTGAGGGCTGAAGAATAGACTTGAGGTTGAGTTTTCCATAGCGATTCCCAAAGGCACACCATAGAATGAAACGACCAAGATTGCTGCTGCTACTTCTGTAGTCAGAAAGCCAGAGGATCCAGAATCTCATTGATACTACCAAGATCTGGAAGCCACCACTTTTACTGTGCCTCCCCTCCTGCTGCTAACTCTCTTTCCTGCTGCCATCTGGGCCAGTAGGAAATGGATGCCTTGTGCCTTGCCTCCCAGAATCCAAACATTTTGTGACTGTATGCTGGGTCTTCTGCCAATGATGCCACAGAAAGCCACAAGTGTCCATCACATTGCTTGCCAACAGAAATAGCTGTGGAGAGCGCCTGGGTGGCTCAGTTGGTTAAGCGACTGCCTTCGGCTCAGGTCATGATCCTGTAGTCCCAGGATCGAGTCCCGCATCAGGCTCCCTGCTCAGCAGGGAGTCTGCTTCTCCCTCTGACCCTCCCCCCCTCATGCTCTCTCTATCTCATTCTCTCTCTCAAATAAATAAATAAAATCTTAAAAAAAAAAAGAAAAGAAATAGCTGTGGAGTAGAGGTGTGACCACTGTCATCTTCCAGATCTCACACTCGGGCATATAACTGTCAAAACCCAAATTGCACCTGTAATCTTTTCTGGAGGGATTCTGGGAAACATAGTATTCAGCTTCTCCATGTCAGAGGTATGCCAGAACAATGTTTTTCAAGCTACTTGATAAACTCTAAAATTCAACTTACCCAGGGAATCTTGACCTCACCGTCAGAACGCAGTGAGGAATAATCATACATCTCAGAAACTGGAATGTAGTCGATGGTCCAACAACTAGAGCGCCATATACAATGTTTTTCAAACTACTTGATAAACTCTAAAATTCAACTCACCCATACACACAGTCACATTCACGTCTACCTGAGATAAAAGATTCACAAGACAATGGGATGCCCTGATAGATTCTATTCTAGTCTTTGCTGTGCAATTCAGTGCTACTCTAGGCTATGCCACTTCATTAAGAAATGTCAATCTTGACCCCCTAAGTTGATTTCATGATGGGCTAGTGGATGGCAACTAGCAGTTTGGAAAAAAAATACTGGACCACAAGAAGGAAGGAGTGGATATTGAGTGCCAATCAACAATATCCACTATGCTATACTGTTCCCTCTCCTGCCCCTAAGTTAACAAAAAGGATTGAAGGCTGCTCATAGAGGGACTTAGTGATATGACATAGTATGCAGTGGACTGAGAATCAGGAGAATGGGTTCCAGCCCTTCCAGCAGCTGTCTCTCCTTCTGTAAATGAGAGCATTGCAATAGCTCTGTGTGCTAATGACCCACCGGACCCATACCTGGAAAAAATGAGGGAAAGGGTGATTGGTATCTTGGGATTTTTTTGGTAGAAGATGGATGAAACTCACAAGGTCATCTTGGCAGCAAATGCACTTGTGCATCAACTGTTGTACTCCTAAAAAATATTAGTTGGCTTTAATTAAGTTCCTGGTTATGCACATAGGTGTAAAATCTCATGACTCATTTAAAAAGCATGATGGTGTATATTGAATGTGAACCGTATGATTAGTTCACCTGCCCCACGTTTGGAAGGAGGTTGTTAATTTTGCTGTTACGGTTTGCAAAGAATTTAATCTCTTAATGTAGAGCTTTTAGGTAAAAGCTTATATTTGCCAATGACTAAGGCTTTCATAAGGACTTTTTTTCTAATATGCTGTAGGTTTGAAGGTAATTGGTGTTAAGAAAGAAAAGCCTATTGAGAAGGCAGAACAAAATAAACATTTAATGAATGCCTATTCTGTGCCAACTGGTGTACCAAGCATTTTCATCTAAATGACTTATGTAATCCTCACATTAATTCTTAAAGGAGGAATTATGGTTCTCATTTTTACAGATAATGGGGCTCACTCTTGGTCATTAAACTAGCAAGTGCAAGAATGTGGAGCTTGTACTTAGTTCTGGCAGACTGAGCTCTTGCTTTTCTTTCCTGTACCAGGATGTCTCTATTGCTTTCATATTTGTTCCAGGTGTGTGAAAGTGAAAAAAAATACTCAAAACAGACTTTATTGAGAAGACTGAAATTTTCCTGTTTTAGACAAAGAGACATTTGATTGGATACTTAAGTTTCCCATTTTATTTAAAAATTTCCTAAACCACCCTTCAGTCTTTAGGGGACCTTGATTTCCGTAAGCAACAGGGAATTGTGGAGATTATTTGTGGGCATTATTCTGGTTTTATATCTTCTGTGGCTTCCTTTTGCTTGTGGTGGTGTTGAAAGGGACCGGAAGAGTTTGTGTGTGACGTAAAATACTACCCTAGGCACCTCCATTTTGGTGCAATGGAGGTCAAACATGGGGAACTCTAGTTGTGCACGGTTGGAGCAATGTGAGGAATGCTAACCTTGTAAAATGCATGAAAAAAGAATATCTACAAATGTTTATGTGTTTTTAAACAAGAGACTTTTAACTCAATGTTTGTTTTTGAATTTTTCTTCTTTTAGCAAGAATACATAAAATTAAGTAAAATGTTAGATTTAAAAGAATGCATTTCAATGTGATTCCTCACCCGTGTGATTTGATTTTATTATCCTCAGTACAGAGGTTAAGCTGACATACAAACGGACAGGATATATAATAAATGACTTTGTGAAACATGGTTCACATACTTTGGAGAATCACGTTGCCTTTTTTTTTCCTGGCCAAGTAGCTTCTTTAAAACTTTTCTTATTATTATTTCTTATGAATAAGCTAACATAGAGTCTACATGGTTCTGCTGATTGTCCTTAGAAGGTCCCCCACAGAGATGATAAAGCCCCTGGGATGCTTTTCTCAAAGTATATGACTGGCAAGGAAAAGGCAGCTTCCAGAGAAGGTCTGGAAAGCACTTAATCTTAATAACAATAGTTACCATTTATTTATGTACTAGAGGCTGCAGTTGAGCTCCCTGTAAGCTTTATCTAATTTAATCTTCCCCTAAACTCTCTGAGGCAGACACTGTTATTAGCCTCTTTTTAAAGCTGAAGAAACAGTCTAAGGGAGGTTAAGTAACTGGTGTCAGATCATTCTCTGGGTGGTCTAACCAGTGGTTTTCCTCCTGGGCTATTCTGCCTCCTCCACAGAGGAGCCTGTTGCCAGGCTCTGAAAGGGGGGCAGGTGGCTGGCCAGGTTGTGTTCTACCTTAAATGAGAGGAAATGGTATCTGGGCCTGTGTATTAGCCAGAAATCTAGGCGAATTGGACAAGCAGAAAAGAAGTATGCTCAGCAGAGAGCTTTGTTGACAGGAGGCCATTCTGACTCAGTAGCTTGGGACTTAGGATGATTGACTTCAATTTAATGTTGAAGGTGCATTTTGAAAGACATGCCACCGTCACTACAGTGGGGACCTCTATACCATCTGTTTAGAAGTATGATAATATGGGGGTAAAGAGTATGAACTTTGGAGTTGTACTCACTGGACTCTCACCCCGAACCCTACCTTTTACTGCTTGTTTCCATTTCTGGGCATTGGTTCTGTTGTCCATGAGATGAGGATTTGTAATGGTACCAATCTTTTTTTTTTTTTTTAAAGATTTTATTTATTTATTTGAGAGAGAGAGAATGAGAGACAGAGAGCATGAGAGGGAGGAGGGTCAGAGGGAGAAGCAGACTCCCTGCCGAGCAGGGAGCCCGATGGGGACTCGATCCCGAGACTCCAGGATCATGACCTGAGCTGAAGGCAGTCACTTAACCAACTGAGCCACCTAGGCGCCCTGTAATGGTACCAATCTTGTTCAGTTGGTATGAGGGTAAAGTGGAATAATAAATGTGAAATATTTAGTCCAGTGCCTGGTGTGTCATAACTGTCCATTTACATATTAGTTGTTATTGATATTAAGCCCTTATATGTCCAATCATTATGTTTTCATATTTAATGCCTTTGTTCCCAAACCAAATCCGTTCAATCAGATAATTATTTTTTCCTCCCTCTGCGTAGACCGATACATGGATGGCCACCAATGAATCACACCTCCCAGTATTGATGCCCTTGTATAGTCCTTGGGCTTGGCCACGTGACTTGCTTTGGACAATGGGACATCAGCAGGGGTGGTGTAAACAAAAGTTTGATGAGCACTTATACACTGGGGCTTGCCCTCTTGAAACTCAGATGCCATGCAAGAAAGACCAGATCTGGCCGGTCTTTTGGAGAGAGATACTAAGATCACATGGAAGGTGAAGCAAAGCCATCCCAGTGTTCTGGTTGGGTCCAACCCTGAGCCAGTCTTTCGGCTGAATGCAACTACATGGTGGACTCCAGGAATGAACAGAAGGAGTTCCCAGACAACCCACAAAATCATGAGAAATAACATCAGTATTGTCTCAAGCCACTGATTTTTGGGGAGTGGTTCGTTATGCAGCAATAGATGATTGAAGCATCCTCTGTGATGCATGCGTAACACTGTGAAACATGGCTGTTTACCAAACCTGTAGTAATAAAAATACAGCACGAATACTATCATCCCGATGGCAGATGCATGGCTATGGAGAAAGAAGGAGTTTTCAAAGAACTTAAAGTAGCACATCTGCATCCTGGGCCCATGTCCTGTTGCCAAGAAATCTATCAGAAGGTACCTGGGGAGTTGCCAGGACTCCTGCTTGATGGGAAAGCCATCACTGTGGCCGTGAAAAAAACCCACAGGCACTCTAACTGCCTTGCCACAATAATTGCAACTCATATTTCCATTGGCCAACAAAACCAGTGCTTACAACAGAAATAAATGTTTTATTTGGAAAATATCAGTGCCAATTGCACCCTAATGGTATTTTTCCAAAACAATGTGGTTAGTAAGAAGAGTAGAGTAAGGACTCAGTCATTTCCAGAGAGCTCTAAGAAGTTGACTAAATTATATTGGATGTTCTTGGATTCGAAGTGATGAGAGCTTGTTTGTACTGTGGCTCCTGAAGAGATGTGACATGCGACTTAATCTTGCTACATGGGCCGACTCAGGTACATGCACTGAACCGTACTGGTCTCAATGACTCAGATTCCCTTTCCGGAACTGCTCTTATTCATTGTATTTAGCTGAAATGAACTGAATGGTTTAGACAGTGGAAAGGATTATAAATCCTTAGGGGAAAAATACATTTCATCCTTGACTAGGATAGAATAAATTAAAAAAAATAAATTTTGAATAAGCAGTTTTTTTAAAAAATAGACTTTACTTTTTGGAGGAGTTTTAGGTTCATAGCAAAACTGAGTGGAAGTTATAGAGATTTCTCACATACTCTCTCCTCCCCTCTCCTCCCCCCACTTGCCCAGCCTCCCTGACTACCAAAATCTCCCTCCAGAGTGGTACATTTGTTATAATCAATGAACCAACATTGGCACACCATTATCACCCAAGTCCATAGCTTACATTAGGGTTCTCTCTTGCTTTTGTACATTCTATGAAGTTTTGACAGATGCATAATGACACATACCCATCATTTTAGTAGCATACAGAGTAGTTTCACTGCACTACAAATCCTCCATGTTCCACCCATTAATCTCTCCCTCCCTGCAACCCCTGAAAACCATTGATCTTTTTTTTTTTTTTTTTACTTTCTCCATAGTTTTTTTTCCAGAATGTCATAAAGTTGGAATCATATGGTATGTATCCTTTCCAGATTGGCTTCTTACACTTAGAAATATGCATTTAAGATTTTTCCATGTCTTTTGATGACTTGGTAGGCTCATTTCTTTTTAGCACTGAATAACATTCCCTTGTCTGGTTTACCACAGTTTATTTATCCATTCACCTACTCATAGAACATCTTGGTTGCTCCACGTTTTGGCAGTTATGAATAATGGTGCTATGAACATCTGGGTGCAGGTTTTCGTGTGGACATGTTTTCAAATCCTTTGGGTAAATACTAAAAATCATAGTTGCTGGCTCATATGGTAAGAGCATATTTAGTTTTGGAAGAAACAGCCAATCTGTCTTCCAAAGGAGTTTTGCATCCCCACCAGCAATGAATGAATGGCAGACATTGCCTGTCCTATGGTAGGGGCTCAGATGTTAGTCATTATTATAAATAAAATAGACTAACCTGATGCATAAACAATAATAAAATTGTGTTTGCACAAGCTGAAGGAGGAATGGCAACTCTCTCTGGTAGGAGCAGGCAAACCACTGGTAGGGACAGGAATCCAAAAATACAGTTAGAATAAGACAAAATGCTATGAGGCAGGAGTGCACCTTGCTTTGGCACAGGGTGCACTGGGTGAGCATATCTTTCTGCTCATATTCTTTTTTTTTTTTTTTTAAGATTTTATTTATTTATTTGAGAGAGAGAGAGAGAGCATGGGGGGGGAGGGTCAGAGGGAGAAGCAGACTCCTCGCTGAGCAAGGAGCCCGATGCGGGACTCGATCCCGGGACTCCAGGATCATGACCTGAGCCGAAGGCAGTCGCTTAACCAACTGAGCCACCC